ACGGGGCCACTGAGGGTAGCAACGGGGCCACGTGGGACAGCGAGGGGGCCACAAAGGGCGACAGCGGGGCCGCGAAGAGCGTGCGTATGGAGCCACGACGGGCGCGAACGAGCAGGGGCCACGAAGGGCATACGTACTTATACGACCGCCCGGCGGGCGATAAGGAAATTGGGGGGAAATGAGATCAAGTGCCCACCCTGACTGATCTCCAGCCCGTCACTTGGGTTGGACTGGAAGAGATGGATTGGATAAGATATGATGGATTGGCTTGGCCCGCCGCGCGCGCAGAAACAAATGAATTGATGGCTTGGGTTGGATGGATTGGATTGGGTGGGATAAGATAAGATGGGACAAAGTGGGTTGGATAAGATGAGATGGATTGGATTGGACAAGATGTATTGGATATGCTAAGCTGATTTGGGAAAGAAAGCCTGCCGCTGGCGCCGACAAAAATGAATTGATGGATTGGGTTGTGTGGATTGGATTGGATGGGATAATACGAATTGGATAACACAAGATGGGTTGAATTGGAAGAAACGGATTGGATAAGATAAGATGGATTGGATTGGCCCGCCGCAGGCGCAGAAACAAATGAATTGATGAATTGGGTTGGGTGGATTGGACTGAGTGGGATTGGATAAGATGGGACACGATGGGTTGGATAAGGTAAGATGGATTGGATTGGACAAGATGGATTGCAAAATATAAGCTGGATTGGACAAGAAAGCCAGCCGCAGGCGCCGAAAAAAAGGAATTCTGAAATTCGCGACATGCGTTAGCGCCGGGACGCCCGGGACACCCGGGACACCTGGGACACCGCCCGGCCCAATTGGGACATTTCCCGGCCACCGGCGGACGGGAAACGGACTTTCCCTCCTACTGAACCCCGGGACGCCCGGGACACCGCCCGGCCCAACTGGTACACCTCCTAGCCACCAGCGGACGAGAACGGACTTTCGCTCCTACTTCGGCCTAGCTACAGGAGGATCACGCGCAGCTTGGCCTCGCCCGCACGACACGAACACGAAACCGAAACCGATTTCCCGGTGGGGGGTCTCCGTTTCCACTGCGATCTCACCCCCAAACCTCCAATATTGGACCGCACAGGGCAAGGACGGGGCCATTGAGGGCAGCAACGGGACCATGAAGGGCAGCGAGGGGGCCACACAGGGCAACAGCGGGGCCACGAAGCGCATGCATACGGGGCCACGACGGGCGCGAACGACAGGGGCCACGAAGGGCATACAGATATGGGGCCACGAAAGGCAGCGAGGGGACAACGAAGGGCTGCAACTGGGCCACGAAGAGCAGCGAGGGGGCCACGAAGGGCTGCAACGGGGCCACGAAAGGCAGCGAGGGGGCCACGAAAGGTTGCAACGGGTTCACGAGGGGCAGCGAGGGGGCCACGAAAGGCTGCAACGGGGCCACGAAGGGCTGCAACAGGTCCACGAGTGGCAGCTAGGGGTCCACCAAGGGCCAAGGGCTACAACAAGGCCACGAAGGGCAGCGAGATCCCGACTCCGAAGTAAGCCGTGAAGGACTCCTAGGCGTGAGCGCGACTCTTGGGTGCCTGAGTGTCGGGAGCGCGGCGCTTGAGTACATTGCGGGGAATTCCAACGCAAGAGCGCGATTTTTAAGTAAATTACAAGCGAGTCTCCGGCGAGAGCGCGACTCCAGAGCGCCGAGAGAGCGATTCCTGAATACAGCGTAAGGAAATCCAAAGCGAGAGCGCGATTCCTGAGTACGATGCGAGGAAGTCTCAGGCGGAAGCCGTTGTTGTTGTAATCCGGGGGCCAACAACACAATTTGAGCCGAGTCACTTTCCCTGATACAAAATCGGGTGCGAGCCCAGGGGAAGCCCTTCAATTAAAAAACACAATGATCACCGGGGGATCAACAATAGTTAATCTTCAGTCGTGAGAGTTCGACAACGACAGCAACAACAACAGCAGCAAGAACAACATAACAACATTAACTTTTTTGAGGGCATAATGTTTCTTACCTGCAACGTGTATTTCGCGCAGCCCCTAAGGCAGGGGAAGGGAGGACGGATGGAAGGAAGGGACAAGGGGGAGGGAGGAGGAGGGAGCACGAGAGAGTAGCAGGAGGGGGGCCAGGAGCAGAAAGCACGTGGCTGAACCAGACGGACAGACCGGGCGGGTAATCCCTGACGGCCAGGTCGGGAAGACGGGCCCAAGCGGCCAGGTCGAGCAGGCGGGTTGGCGAACCGTGATTACAGCATGAATCGCGAGGAAGTTTCGAGCGATAGCAAGATTCCCACATGAATCGCGAAGCAATCCACAGCGAGAGCGTGATTATTGAGAGTCGGGGGCGCGGCGTCTGAATACATTACAAGGAAGCCCAACGCGAGAACGCGATTCCGGTATATATTGTGAAAAAAAGTCCCACACGAGAGCGCGATTTGGAAATAAATTGCGAGGATGTAGCAGGCGGTAGCCAGTGTTAATGCAAACCGGGGACCAGAGCCCAGTTTGGTAACACCTCGCTTCTTCTTGAAAAAAACTTGGTACGAGCCCCGGGAGAGGCATTTTCATTGAAAAATACAAGGGTTACCGCGCAGGGGGGATCAACAATCATTATTCTGTAGAACAGAGAATTCATCGTCAACAGCAACAATCGTTTGATCCGAATGCTCTATGCTTCTATATGCAGCATGCACCCAACATGATAGCCCCCCGTCATGGAGGATTTGTCTTGCTTTCTGATGGCGCCGGGCTGGTCGCCATCGTCATCGTCGTCGCCGCCGCCGCCACTGCCGCCGCCGCCGCCGCCATCGTCGTCGTCGTCGTCGTCGTCTTCTTCCTCCTCATCCTCCTCCCCCCCCTCCTCCTCCCTGCGCTCCTCCTCCAAAAATGTCCTTGGCCCTAGGTGTCTCCAGGAGTTCCAGGAGGCACCCGACGGCCTCCAGAGCACGACGACGACGACCACCACCACCGCCACCACCACGACGACGACGACGACGACGGCGGCCGCGGCGGCGGCGGCGGCGACGACGGCGACGACACCACGCCCCAGGAAACGAGAGAGAGCGAGGTCGCGCGGAGCAGGCGCGAGAGCGCGAAAGCTCGCGCATTCAGGGTGTCCAACAATGAAAATTGTTTACTCATTAAGGCGCAACAAGGATTAGGGAAGCCTCATGGCCTCCTGGAAGTCTTAAGCAAAAACGAGGAAGTATCGAGCGGGAGCATCGTGGTTAGTACGGGGCCCTGAGGCGGGAGCGCCGGCGCCAAGGTGAACAGCAGGGACGCATCGAGCGGGAGTGCCGACGTCGTTGGAAAGGCGGCTTTGGGGGGCGAGCCAGAGCCCCGTCCCCGAGCGAGAACAGGAGGAGATATGAAAGCGGAGCGTTGTTGTCGTTGTGGGGGGGGGGGGGGGGGGGCGGTTTTGGCGGAACCGTGGAACGCCTGAGCGTGCGCTTCGTTTTCAGAGGAAATGCTGCCGGCGCCTACGCGAGAGCGCGAAAGTGCATCCAGTGGGTCTAACAATCATACATGCTTAGCCACTACGGTTCAACAACAACAGCAACAACAACCATACGAATGCGTTTACATATATATATATATATATATATATATATATATGTGTGTGTATATATACACATATATATATATATATATAATTCACGCACGTGTGTTTTTAATGTTATTAAGTATCCAAAATATTACCAGACAGCCCCCCCCCCCAAAAAAAAGGAAAGCTGTTCTTAGCCAGGGATGCGTAGCATCACGCACTCGCGTTTTTGGGACGCGAACGCTCTTGGAGATCTCCGGGGCCCTTTTTGAGACCTTCCTCGGGGTCTCTTGGGCCGCTCTTGGCAGATGGCAGACTTAGAGGCCTTCTCAGGGCCAGCTTGAAAGCTGTCGGTCAACAGGGAGGGGGGGTCCAAGTACGTCCCCCCCCCCCTTGTCGGAGCCCTCAAAATAGCCTCTTCGGGTCCTCTTTGGGTGGTCATGGGCGCTGTTGGGGCCGTTTTGGGCCCCTCTTGGGGCCCTGTTGGGCCACCTTGGAGCCATGCAGAGGCTTCAAAAGCTGATCGAGAGCGATCTAGCGAGAAATGTTAAAATCAATGTCGTTCCTTTGGTTTGGGAAAGAATTGGGCCCCTGGGAGGTGTCCTTGGGAGGCTCATGGAGCCGTCCTGGGGAGGTCTGGAAGGTTGTTGGAGGAATGTTGGAATTGAGCGATCTTGGAGGCCATCTCGGGCTATCTGGGGCCTGCTTGAAGTTATTTTGGCCGCTCCAACCCTTCGCGGAACGCCCCATCCAGACCCACGGGGAAACGGCAAGGGCAGGGTGAAGCCCCTCTACCGAAAGAGAAAAGGGGGCAGCAGAACGAGCTCGTTAGACCACTCACGCCCAGAGGGTTGGTGGGGCTACATGGCAATAGCTTTTCGCAGGTTCCGTGGATCGGCGCTGGACCCCCCTCCCTGCAGCGCGCCAGAGGCGCCGCCAGGGGGGCTTCAGTGCTGATCCAAGAAATCCGCGCGGAGCCCCTAAAGTTTATGTGTATGCTGTTTTTGTGTTGTCCTCCTCCTCCTCCTCATCCTCCTCCTCCTCCTCCTCCTCCTCCTCCTCCTCCTCCTCCTTCCCGCCATCATCATCCGCATCTTCATCATCATCCGAATCAGCATCATCATCATCGTCGTCATCATCATGTGCACCATCATCAGCATCATCATCACCACCAACATCGCCATCATCACCATCATATGCATCATCATCCATATGACACCCTCGTCCTCCTCCTCCTCGATCTGGCGCCCCTCATTATCCTCATCTTCCTCCTCCTCATCTGCGTCATCACCATCCTCCTCATCCCCATCGTCCTCCTCCTCCTCCTCCTCCTCCTCCTCCTCCTCCTCCTCCTCCTCATCATCATCATCATCATCATCATCCTCATCATCCTCATCATCCTCGTCCTCCTCCTCCTCCTCCTGCTCCTCCTCCTTCTCCTCCTTCTCCTTCTCCTCCTCCTCTTCGAG